ATTTGCCAGTGAACAAGTTACCCCATGTTGGCAGTGGCATAATCATAAGGATCAAAGGGAACAATGAAAGATCCAGAAATCTAGACATCATTGATGTACCGAATGGTTATGGGAGACTCAGAAATAGGAATATCATTATAAATAAAAACGGAGATTTTCTTGACAACCGAATTTAGTTTAAGGAGAAGTTTATTCTTGAGTACAAATGTCTCCTCAATGGATTGTGTATGGTCATATAGAGAGTATTTATACACCATGAATGAGTTCAAAATGGCACAATATTGAAATTATAAAATGACAAGAGATCTCAAGAGAGGTAAAACTTTTAAATTTTCAATTAATACAAAAAATGTTGTAATCCCCGAAAATATATATCTTTAAATTTAGACAAAAATTAAAAATGAAATCATAAACAATTTTAATAATTGACTATTTCAAAAAAAAAAAAGTCGACACTGACTTCTAAAATTAAGTTTCGACAGTGAAACATTGGAAATCCCTTTGAATAGATCATGCAATAACATCCATACATGATTTATTAATGAGCACAAAAACAATCAATGGATAATAATAATTGACTATTTCAATTGTATGTTTTTCGAAAAAGGATGGTCATGACCAGACTGACTCATCGTGAAATATAGTAATTAATGAATTACCATTAAAATTAGTATAGTAATTAAAGAATTACCATTTGTATGTTGACATTTCCCCCATATATTACCATTCAAATTACAAAATGCCATTCAAATGTTTGATACCAAAAAATATACTATATAAACATGAAATATGCATATATGGTAAATATGCATATAAATATATATATATATATATATATATATATATATATATATATATATATATATTATTTTCATAATTTTTCTTTCCTTCATTGTGTTATTATTATGATAATTTTATGGTAATATATTTAAATATTAGAAAAGGACAAATGTTATAATTAATGAAATTATTATGGTAATTGTCACAAAATAGATTATTCTCATAATTTTTCTTTCCTTCTTTTGTGTTATTATTATCGTAATTTTATGGTAATGTATTTAAAATATTAGAAACCAGGACTATGTGGTCCAATGGTACCTGGGTTGGACTTCCATTTGGAAAGTTGTGAGTTCGAGCCTCAGTGGAGGTGTTATTAGCTCTTTGTGTTTCAGTAGGTTGAGAAAGTATATGAACAGATACTACAATGTAATAGAGCTAGTAGCATTCAAAAAAAAAAATTTAAAATATTGGAAAAGGACAAATGTTATAATTAATGAAATTATTATGGCAATTGCCATAATATTTGGTAATTATAATTAATATAATTAATGAAACTTAGAAATATATGATTTCTTCCGTAGAAATATTTATGAAAATTTTATTAAATTATAATTAATAAAATATGAAATATAATTAAAGAAATGAAATTATAAAATTAACAAAACATGAATATTTATAATTTTAAAATATACATATATACACTTTTTAAATTTCTAAATATAAATTTTTAAGTATAAATCTATCAATATAAATTATAATTAATAAAATTATATTATAAAATTTTCCTATATACATATTAATAAATATTATGTGTATATACAAAATATTATACAATCATATAATGATATGCGTCCGATTAGAGTTTTTATTTACTAATACAAAATTTAGAATTTACATTTTTTTATTGATTTCTAAGTACAATTCTTTTAGTTATTATTATTCATATTTTTAGAATTATATATGAATTACAATTTGGAATAAATCAACTTAATTATATGAATTTTTTCTATAAATTTATCTAAATATGTACATGATTAGAGATTATATTAACCATACAAAATTTAAATTATAATTTTGTAACTTATAAAAATAGATACTTGACCAAATATATAAAAGTCCAAATATATTATTATATTATACATTTTAACATCTTTTTATTTTTCTATTTTTATTTTAAATTCATAATAACAAAAAAAATTTCCGTGCAATGCACAAGTAAAACACTATATTTTAAAATATACAAGTTGATAAATATCATAAATTAATTAGTGCAATATCATTTATGTTTATAATAATTAAATACAAAAATAAATAATTCAAATATGTGAACTAATGATTTCAAAATAAAATTAATATACAGTTACAAATAAATATATAGCATGATTATATTTATTTTAATTAGTTTTAAATCCATTAATAATATGACTTTTCTTTATCAATTTTTTGTGGGAGACTAAGGGAGTGTTTGGGTTGTTGGAAATTATTTTTTTTTTTTAAAATACTTACTAATAAAAAATAATTTTAAAATATTTTTAACCCCTCATAACATGTGTAAATCTTATATTTTTTATAAATACAATTTGATAAGTATCATAAATTAATTAGTACAATATCATTTCTGTTTATAAATTATAATAATTAAAAAAAAATTAAATATGTGAACCAATGATTTCAAAATGAAATTTATATACAGTTACAAATAAATATAGCATGATTAGATTTACTTTAATTAGTTTTACTTTTCTTAATGAAATGACTTTTGTTTACCAGTTTTTATGAAGGGCTAAGTGAGTGTTAGGATTGCTGAAAAATATTTTAAAATAAAAATACATACTAATAAAAAATAATTTTAAAATCTTTTTTAACCCCTCATAACATGTGTAAATGTTATATTATTATTTTTTTTTAAATACAATTCGATAAATATCGTAATTTCTGTTTATAATAGTTAAATAAAAAAAATAATTCAAAGATGTGAATCAATGATTTCAAAATGAAATTAATATACAGTTACAAATAAATATAGTATGGTTAGATTTATTTTAATTAGTTTTATTTTTTTAATGAAATGACTTTTATTTTTCAGTTTTTTATTAGAGACTAAGGGTGTTTTTGAGTTGCTGAAAAATATTTTAAAAATAAAAATACTTAATAAAAAAAATTTAAAATATTTTTTAATCCCTAAACATGAGAAAATTTTATATTTAAAAAAATACAATTTGATAAATATCTTAAATTAATTATTGTAATATCATTTATGTTTACAACGAGAATAATTAAAAAAAAAATTCAAATATGTGAATCAATGATTTCAAAATGAAATTAATAAACAATTACAAAGAAATATAACATGATTAGATTTACTTTAATTTCTTTAATAAATGACTTTAATAAAAGTAAAATCCTCATTTATAACAATCCAGCCCAAATTAATATGAATATTAATTAATTAGTAAAAAATTAATAAAGCTTAATTGGTAACACAATTTTATATGAAAATTAACTAATATATAATGAATTGTTACTACAGATTAAAGTCAATATGTACATAAAAATTGAAAACAGTTACCAAATTCTGAGAATAATTAAATTATTATAATTGTGAAAATAATTGATACAAATTATGCGTAACAAATGAGAAAATTCGTTTGAAATTCTGCGTAATTTTATAAAGAACTAATAATTTATTAATTATTATTTACACCAATTTATACTATTAATAAAAGTCAAATCCTCATCTTCAACATTCCCGTCCAAATTAATATGAATATTAATTAATTGGTATAAAAAAATCAATAAAGCTTAATCGGTAACAAAATTTTATATGAAAATTAACTAATATCTAATGAATTTTTATCACAAATTAAAGTTAATATGTATTTAAAAATGAAAAATGGTTATCAAATTCAGAGACTAATTAAACTATTATAATTGTGAGAATAACAGAAACAAATTCTGCGTAATAAATGAGAAAATCCACTTGAAATTCGATGTAATTTTATAAGGAAATAATAATTTATTAAATATTATTTACACCAATCTATATCTATACTATTAGTAAATGTAAAGTCTTCAATTAAAATGTCTTTCACCCTTCTGATACGAAATTGCCCTTCAAGTTCTAACGAAAACAATTCACGTTGATGTTCGCATATGCCATGACTATCAATAAAAGTCAGGGTCAAACACTAACTCACGTTGAGTTATTACTGAAAAAACCAGTCTTTAATCACGGTTAATTGTATGTGACTTTTTCCCGAGTCACCCATCCTGATGGTCTGATTGTTTTAACTCTCGACGAGGACGGATAAAATTCCGTTACTACTACCAATATCGTCTACAAAGAGATTTTCAATAATGTATAATTCAAGCCATTAATATTATGTTTTTTTTTTATATACAAAAATGACAAAATTGCTATATATCTACATAGAAAATATAACTTTCGTATAAATAATTTCTATAACTGAGTTGCCAGACAACGAGCTAATTAGCCCAATTAATACAAATTATAAACACTGATATATAAAATCTCTAGAGTTGCAGCAACGAATGCGTATATCTACACGTTAGCTTCTTTCAAACAAAAAATATGTACACGTTAGCTATTAATTGAGAAATTATTTACTCGAATTCAAGCATTGATAACATCAGAAAACATAATCGGTGCAACTCAATTCTTCAATTATATTATATAATATTCGATGTTATAATTTATACAATTGTATATCAATATAAATATTTTAAAAATATTATAACAAATTCATTCCGTGCAACGCACGGGCGCAAATACTAGTTATACAAAAATAATAAATTTAGTGACTTATTTGACACTTTTATCTAGATTACACAATCAAATATGAGATAATAGTTACTTTTATTAAAGAGATATATTTGAAAAATGTTGATAATTGCGTTTGCATCCAACGCATTTTTACCAAAACGCCCACCAAACCAAGTAACCAACCGTTCGGTGAAGGGGTTAAGTCGTAATTAAAAGTGTAAATATTAGCAGTCGGTCGTCGTCCAGTGCGCACACATTCACCTATCATATCACTTTTGAACCAATAACTGCCTGCCACGGCGAACATGAAAGAGCCTCTAGTTATCCCAGCCAATGGCGAGCTCCCACTCCGTAGTCCCTCCTACACCGTATAAAATCTCACCGCCGTAAATTACTGGATTTTCGAGGGCATAGATGCAAAAAGCTTTTTATTACGTTCCCGCGTTGTACTCAAGCAAGCACACATGCGTACCCGAAAGCAGAGTGCTTAACTGCTTTGTTTCTCCATAGTTTCTACATTAATCCATTGCTTTGATTCCGGAGAGATTTTCTGAGGATTTGTTTGGGGAATTTGAAGGCTTAGATTTGCAATGGATCGGCGAAACGATCCCAATCCTTTTGACGATGAAGAGCAAGAAGTCAATCCATTTTCGGTAACCGCCTCTTCATTTCCAGCTTCATGCTCTTTTACCATCCCTAGATCTGCGCAATTTTTTATTATTTTTTCCTGGTTCGATTGTGTGGTTCGTGGATTGTGGTATTTAGCGGAGTTGCAGTCGGTGTTTTGCGAAATAGGGGGTCGGTTGTGTGATCTAGATCTGAGAAGTTGAACTTAAAGAAGAATGTTGACGCATTTATGAATCGAAATTTCGTTGATATTGTTGTTTTGGTATTAATTAGTCATTTGCAGTCTGAGTACAAGATTATAGAACTATCTCCGAAGTGCAAGTTGGATTTCACGAAATAGACGCAAGAATAATTTGAATTAATTTTTTGAAAATTTACGGGAAGACATTGTGATCTTAATAGTCTGTCGAGGTAGGAGGTGTGGACGGCAACGTTATTGCAAAATGTTACTCCATGCATCATGGTAGGAGGTGTTCAATCCCTTGCTCGCAGTCACAATTAGCTATAAAAATAGGGTATTGAAATTAATGAAGAATTACAACGGACAATCCAAAAAATGAAATTAGAACATAATTGAATTGTGAAATGAAGCAAAGCAGGAATATTTAGTATTGTTTAATTCGGTAGAAGTTGGTAATTTGGCCAGTGGGTGAACAAGCCAACAAAAGTATGTTGTTACATTCTTAACCTACATTAACTGAAGGGTGAAACATATATATATATATATATATATATATATATATATATATATATATATATATATATATATGTATATATATATATATAAGTAATTATTTGTCTTTTATAAAGGAATAGGGACACTCAAAAAATGAAGTTACAACGTATTCTTGATCCTTGTAGCTCTCCTAGTGTATTTGTAATACAATTTATTTTCTGAATGATATTACTAGATATGAGTTTTCAAACACCAAGAATAATTCTTTTCATTGGCCTACAATTTTTATGACAGCAATGGAGCATTTAGATAGGTCTAGAGATATATTTGAATGAAAAATGCTTCAATGCTTTTTGAATGGGTAAAATGTGTAAGATTATGTTAATTTTTCATCAGGTCTTAATTTTATTTATTTATTATTTATTTTGTGATCAATGGAAATTTGGTGGCTGAATCTTTTTATTGCTTCTGTTTGACTTGGGAGGATTTTTGTTCCTTGGTGATTTGCATCCCAATTACTGAATGCAAGATATCCTTATCTCCTATCTCTTTCATTTGCAGAATGGTGGTAATGCTCCAGGATCAAAATCTCGCATTACTCAAATGGTGGCTAATACTCTTGGTTTTGGTCAAAAACATGATGCCACTGTTGATATACCACTTGATTCGATGAATGTAATGCAATTAATTATACAGCGGAACTTAAAAAAAAAAAAATTATAAAACATGTGTGGTTCTGAGTCTGATGTCATATAATTGAATTTTTAGGATCCCAAGAAAAAACAGAAGGAACTGGCAGCCTGGGAAGCAGATTTGAAAAGGAGAGAAATGGTTAGTTTAAAGTTTTGTTTATTGCATAGTCCTCTTAGATATTTGCAATACTGCTTGATTGAATTTGGCATGTAAAATTGTGCACCTCTAATTTTGCAGGACATCAAACGCCGAGAAGATGCTGTTGCTGGAGGTATGCTATGTGATATGCAATCTAGTAATGATTTTGCATTCCATTTTTTCTTCTTTAGATTGATTTGTTTTACTGCTTTGTTTAGCTGGTGTCCCTGTCAGTGATAAGAATTGGCCTCCCTTTCTCCCAATTATACACCATGATATAGTCAATGAAATACCGGTTCAATCTCAGAAAATGCAGTACTTGGCTTTTGCCAGTTGGTTAGGTATGCTCATTTTTCCTCTAGTTTGTTTTGTTTCTTCTCTTTATTGTTTTTGTTTGTAGCATTTTACAGAAGCTATAATACAGGGACACACAAAAGAAAACCTTTATCTATTTTATTCTCTTCATCTCTATGGGCTCTATCATTATGGGTAATATGTATCCCATTGTTGTTCTTGCTCCGCTTCACCTCTACCATTTGAAGGCTATTTAGCACATTGTCGTAAGTGCTTATGCTGCCATGTTATCTTGAGGCTGTTCATGTTTGGCTCCATCCTTGTTGCTTTCACCTTCATTTTCAAGGATCATGCATAGTGCCATGTTTTCCAAAGCCATCAGACATTATTAACTTCTAGATGTTCTAGCTTAAGGGGGAAACTATAGTTGTATTCCTAGTAGTAGCCTTGGTTTCCCATATGTAGTGGGAGTGGTTTTAGCTCAATATTCTTTTAAATATAGGGTCATTATATAGTTCAATACACAAGGACACACAGCCTAGTATAATCTTTAATTATAATATATTTTCTCTATTCCCTCTTTTTAGTTCCTCACATATTTTGTGTCCGCCTAACTAGAGTAGTGGGTATTAGCCATCCGCCAGGCTTTTTCAATCCCTCAATTTCAACACTCATATACTTGAACATGCTTTTAACTTTCTAATAACTGTCTATGCAGGTATTGTTCTTTGGTTAGATTTGTTTATTTGTGTTACACAATCTTCTCCCACTCTAAAGAAAATCCATCCATGCATTTTAACTTTCTAATAAATGTCTATGCAGGTATTGTTCTTTGCCTTGTATATAATATTGTTGCGGTGACTGTTTGTTGGATAAAGGGTGAAGGTGAGGTTTCTTTTCCCCACATTTCTTATGGTGTTGGTTATTTTTTCTAGCTTTTTTGTTTTGTTTTGTTTTGTTTTTTGTTTTTGTTTTTTTTTTTTTTTTTTTTTTTGGGAGAAAAACCGGTAGAGATGACCTCAATACATTGCTGACATGGCTGATTTCTGCAGGTGTCAAGATCTTTCTACTTGCTGTAATATATGCCTTAATGGGGTGCCCTCTATCCTATGTTCTGTGGTACAGGCCCCTTTATAATGCAATGAGGTATTTAGTATTGTCTTACCATCAATACTAAACTTTGCAGCCCTGTATCCCCATAGGATCTAATTATTGTTATGATATGAAAATGGCTGTTGTTATTCTTGTCTCAATTTGCAGGACTGACAGTGCACTCAAGTTTGGTTGGTTTTTCTTGTTCTACTTGGTATGCTTCGCTGACAAGCAATGAAGTTGGTTTGAATTTTACATATGATTGTTACATAGGTTCTTAAATTTTCTGTTGCAGCTCCATATTGGATTTTGCATATTTGCAGCTATAGCTCCTCCCATTGTCTTTAATGGAAAATCATTGACGTAAGTTTGTTTATGGTTTCTAAATTGACTTTGCGATACTGGAAATAATGTTTTAAGGATAGAGAAGGCTGAACTCATCATGACATGTATTTTGGGACAATAAATATGAGCCACTTGAGTGTTGAGATTGGATGGTTAACTGGTCTGGCCTTGGGCACCTAGTGGGTTTGGGTATGTGGAGGCAAGCTCTCCTGTTAGAAGGGAAGAATTTATATTATCTGAAATGCTGAAGACTGGTTTTTGTTGTTGAAACTTCATTGCTAACAGTGCCATTTTGTTTCCATCTTCCCAGGGGCATCCTTGCTGCAATTGATGTCTTCTCTGATAATGTGTTGGTTGGGGTAAGTTAAGTTGTAGGGCTATTTTTGTGTTATTATAATGTATTTTCTCTGTTTTCTTCTTCTATGTAGTTGCAGATGTTTAATATTGGTTTACTTGCAGATATTCTATCTAGTTGGATTTGGGTTGTTTTGCTTAGAAGTATTGCTAAGCTTGTGGGTGCTTCAGGTTGGTGACATTAATAAAATTGATGGCATTTCTTCATTTACACTTAATAATATTCACATCTGTTCTGGCTTTTGCTTAAACCTTGCAGAAAGTGTATATGTATTTCCGAGGGCACAAGTAATCCAAGCTTTTGGTACCACACCATGTCAAGTTGCAGTTTTGATGTCATGATTGGCTTGTTATATTCCATCTTGTTATTATGTTTTTATCAGCCTTTGATGTATATTTTTCTGATTTTCATGTATTTTGACTCATCAAATAATTCAACATTTTCTTCCTCTAAACCAATTTTGTTGATATAGTTTTTATAATGCCAATGTTTATTTTTAAATAAGTATTTTAAAGTGTATTAATGTAGGATTATATAGGAGATGTGTAAGTATAAGTACTTGAATGTTGAATTTGTTTGTCTAAACGATAATTTAAAATTATGAATGCAATATAATATAGAAGAAATTGATTATAATTGTCATTAAAATAAATATATTTGTAACTTAGTAAAAATGCAAGTCTAAATACTTAATTTAAAATTGATATAATAGAAATAATATTTACATATTATTATCAACATGAAAGCATACAAGTTCTTTAGGTGTTCTTTTCGGGATTCATTTGTTTCAGTATTTAAAATATGATGTAGTTCAAAGATATTACGAGATAATTTTCTGCTTTAATTTGTTGGGTTCTTTGAATACTTTCTTTGTCAATAAATTTTTTTAAATAGTTAATATGATTGGTTTCAAATTATTATTTTTTATAGTATTAATAAAATACTTGGTAAATAAATATATAACATTATTTTGTATTATAACTTTGATATTTAATTACAAAATAGTGTAAAAAGAAGATAATGGATAATATAGTGAATATAATAAATTGATTAATTTGAATATAAAGAATCTTTGCATGGGAAAAAAATAAAGGCAATATAACTAATTAAATTATTTCTCTTATTTAATTTATTGATAATGAATAATTTTTTTAAATAAAGGCACTGTAGACACATAATTCTAAAATAAATAAATGCATATGTATTATTCTTTGTTGTATCTACTAATTTATTTAATTTAATTTAATAAAAGTAAAATAGACTGAAGAACTTAATTATGCCAACTTTGATTGGGATGGAGTTCAAACTTAAATATTTCTTATTAAAGAATGAATAAGGGTTAAATAGGTCATTGAACTGCACACGATAATGCAATTAGGCCACTGAACTTTAAAAAAATAACAATTGATCCCTAAACTAACCAATTTTATTCAATTAGTCTAATTTATAAATTTTTCAGGTTACATAGGTCACTCCAAATAAAAAATAATTTTTTAAAAAAAAAAGAGTAAAAATGTCTCCGCAGGTTCGTCTCCATGGCCGGAGACAAAAAAAAAAAAAAAAAAAAAAAAAATAATAAAAAAGTTTCTTTGTCTCCGACGGAGACTTTTTTTTTTTTTTTTTTTTTTTTTTTTTTTTTTTTTTTTATAAATAATTATTTTTAAAAAATATTTTAAATAATTGTAAATTGGACTAATTGCATGAAATTGGTTAGTTTAGGGACTCAATTGTTAGTTTTTTTTCTTTTTTTTTTTTAGGTTCAGTGGTCTAATTACATTATTGTGTGCAATGACCTATTTGACCCTTATTCCTTGAAATTAATGAGTAAGTTAATGGAGAATATAATTTTTAACAGAAAAGTTAATAATTTGTGGGTATTTAAAGGAAGAAAATTATATAATTATGTATAAATTTGAAAATCTAAAAGAAAAATTAAAATCTAAATAATCTGGACCATTCATCTCATTTAATAATTTGACGGACATTTTTTTTACCTATCATATATAGGCCTAACTTTATTGGCTATATATATATATATATATATATATATATATATATATATATATATATAAAACTTTAATTCGAATGAAAGATAACTTTAATCAATTATTAACACTAATTATCTCACTTATTGCATTTTCTATTATAATTAGAAAATATTGAAGATTTAATAAGGTTTTAGAATACAATACAAATGTTTATAGAATTCTAACTTATAATTAAAATATTTAAATCTTGATAGGCTTTTAAAATACAAATGTTTATAGAATTCTAATTTATATTTAGAATATTGAAGTCTTACTAGGATTTTAGAATATAAATCTTTATAGAATTCTAATTTATATTTAGAATATTGAAGTCTTAATAGGATTTTAGAATACAAATCTTTACAGGGCGTTTGGTTGGAGGGGGGGAATTATGTGGGAAAGGAATTGTAATTCCATGGGAGTTGAATTACTGGGAATACTTAAATTCCAGTGTTTGGTTGACAGGAATAGAATTACTGGGAATTTCAATTCCAATGTTTGGTATACATGGGAATTGAAAGGTAATAAGTAGTATAAAGTCAAAAATGTCCATTATTGTTGTTAGACATTTATTTTAGGTTAAAAAAGGAAGGGGTAATTTTGACTCATCACTATCTTTTTTTCCCAGGAATTAAAATACCAGGGGGGGACATGTGATTTTAATTCCATGAAAATGGGGGAATTGCAATTCCATGGAATTGCAATTCCCTCCAACCAAACTACGGAATTTAATGACCTTTGGAATTATGTGGGAATTAAGTGGGAATGGAATTTAAAATCCCTCCAACCAAACGCCCTGTTATAGAATTCTAACTTATATTTAGAATATTGAAGTCTTATTTATAGATAGATTTTGTGCATGATTTTAGGAGTTTCATATTTGGTAGGACTGGATTTACCATTCAGTTTTGTCTTTGGGTTTCAAACGAAATACTTGTGGTGGAGTTGAAGGTCCAAAGTGGTTTGACGGCGGCGAGGAATGTTTTCAGAATGCTTATCTACGGTGTGTATTTGTTTGGGGTGATAACTCTTGAAAATACTTTCCCGGATGGAATTGGAGTCCTTTATAAATATGTTACGGTCGGAAAATATCTCAGTACCGAGTCCCGCGACGAGACCATTTTGGTTACTAATAAAACAATGGATTTGGATTTCAGAGTAAGTATTATTCATTCAAATTAGTGTCCACAAAAATTATACACAATATTATACATAGTATTTTTTTAAAAATTCTCCTTCTATGACTATATATATATATATATATATATATATATATATATATATATATATATATATATATAGGGTTGCATTCACATGCAAACCCCCTTAAAATACAAATGTGTGGACATAATTTAGCCATAGGATATCATTGGATCAATGGACTGGATGAAAGGTTAATAATGACACACGGATTTCTAATTAATGTAGACAAGGACAAAATTGGGAATGTATTAACACTGTAAAAGCGGAAAAATTTGATTAGAAAAGGAATACAATTGATTTCTAAAATATGCAACGGTTAAGAAAGTTTAAATTGGGTAGGATTTGAACACATTATATCTATACGAACGGCAAAGAGATTCCGTCGTGCAACCATGAACGTGAGAGAAGATCCCATTCACGGCGAAAACCGGCCAAATTACGACGCCAAACCAGACTACATGGATGCTCCAAACCCAGGTAAATACACAGTATATCTTACCAAAATCATTGTATGTAGTTTGTGCGGTAATGAACAATGTGTAATGCGTGTGTTTTAAATTTTTTTTTCCTGCTGCAAAAATAGGGCAAATTTGAATATGGCCATACTCGTAGCAAATTTTTTTTGAATAATCTGTATACAATTCAACAAATTTAGCACTTATGGAATCAGTATACCATGTGGGGCGTAGGTGTAGAGGTCTGTATGAACTAGTGCACACGTTATTAGCCGGCTGTGCACACATGGGTACATAGACACAGACTGTGAAAAAAATGGATGGCCAAGTGCGGGTTTACTGTTTCGTTTTGTCTTAGCGTACACAATTCTAATAGTGCTGCCAGTGCCGAATAATGCATTTACTATTAACAAAATAACATTGTTGATATACAGGTGAAGATCATAGCGGAGCAGGAGTAACGGATTGCGATATGATTATATTACCCGATGGAACAAAACAGTGGTTACCTACTTGCAAAACTGAAAGCACACCATACGTCGGACAATAGTTTGCAACTCTAGAAGATGGACGTGCGCTACCTGTGACCGACCGAGCCACGACAGCCGAAATTGTCCAGACAAACAAGACATATTAGCCGAATAACCCCACACGGTTTAAAATAGTATGAATAATAACTTCATTTGAAGTTGAACTACATCGTCGTTGAACTTATAATATCAATGGTTGATATTTATTTAGTTCCCATGCACACTATTTCTTTATAATATGCTTACTTTAATATGACAACATGTTTTAGTTTAAAAAGACAAAATAGTAGCGGTATTTAAGTGTATGTGCAAAAAAAATTTACTTCTCATCATCATACATAGGAAAACATCATAAATAATGCACCTTTTATAAAATCAATTTAAATATACAAAATATTTTTATAGACTAAAAAATGTCATATTAATTTGTACTATGCTTCTTGTATATACCATGCAAACGTATGTTGTTAGCGCATGCACACAGTTAGCTCAGAATGGCACAGGTGTAGTTATTCGCTAAGTCTATTAGGTAACAGCGAACTAGTCCCGTATATGAAATTTATGTAGTAATTATCTATGATTGCAATTCATTTAGATTCCCATACACACAGTTCAACCCTATCATGCGAACACCTAAATAATTACTAGACCAATTCACTAATAGTAAACTAGCCACTGTTACGAATTTTTTTTTAGCTAATGTCCATGGTTGCAATTTCTTTAGATATAAATGCACAGAGTTAAGTGCAAGTATGTGCATGTGCTTTGCTTTAATAAGCCCACAAGTTAAAGGTGAACTAGTCACTTGAGTACATTTAATTGACTTCTTAGCCATAGTTTACATTTATATAGTTTATATAGTTGTTCATACACACAGATTAACGCCACCGTGCACACATGTTTTCATTTTACTAAACATATACGGGAATAGTAGCCTAGGCAGTGTATTATACATATTTGATCATGCACACAGTATGGTGCCAAAGTGCACACATCTGTCCATTTACTAAAACAAGCGGAATTCATTTAGTCGTGCAAGGCTGTGCATCCGGAATTATAACACTTTGCATTTCGACAAACACACACGAAACCCACACCAAAGTAGACAATGAAATTTTAATAAAGGCGGAGCAATTAATACCATAAATTTGTCACTAATAAACACACAACCAACTGTGAACAAACAAATGTCTAGGAACCCCACAAGGGTACACAGGTGCAGCCCGTACTTAGCAAAAA